ATATTAAAATATTTAATCAGTTTCTATATTTAAATATCAACATTTAATAGGTTGGGTTTTTGAATTTTGAATTAAGATTTTGGTTTCTAAAACTAGGTTGTGACTATAATATTTTTTGGATTTGAAACTAATGTATATTAACTTTTTTTTAAAAATAAAAAATATTGTACAATTTAAATTATATTAAATTATAAAATTTGAATCATTAGCTTAGATATTGACATAAGTTTCTATATTTAAATATCAACATTTAATAGGTTGGGTTTTTGAATTTTGAATTAAGATTTTGGTTTCTAAAACTAGGTTGTGACTATAAAATTTTTTGGATTGGAAACTAATGTATATTAACTTTTTAAAAAAATAAAAAATATTGTATAATTTAAATTATATTAAATTGTAAAATTTGAATCATTAGCTTAGATATTGACATTATTTTTCACGCAACAATTCTCATTTTTTCTAAACTGCAGAAAACTCAAAATATAAAATAAAGAAGAGTACATCTTTCTTAAATTATGAGTTTTTTTTAAAAATTTAGATTTATTAGTATTATTTAGGCACATATTGGAAAGTTATTATTATTATTATTTTATTGTAAAGTTAGTGTTATTTAGGAGTATATTATCTTTTTGAGAATAATGACGTTAACAAATTCTAAAGACAATGATAAATATACTCTGTAAAATTACACACTCCGTTACATATTGACAGAAACCATTAATATATAACGAGAACTATCAGTTTTAATAACATAAATAATAAAAATTGTCAATTTTAACGACACAACTAATAAAAACTATAAACTTTAACAACACAACTAACAAAAATTATTAGTATGTAACAGAATATGTAATTTTACAAGGTGCACAGATTATTTCCCAATTCTAAATTCATATTTTTGCCGCAGGTTCATGACAGGTGATTAAAGAAACGAAATAAGGTTACTTCCTACTGTGTAAGCACAAAATAAGAAATTTAGGGGAAAACACATAGTAGATGCATACCAGTATATATCGATTCTTTTATATTAGAAATTTATTTTTTTTAGAATGTATTTATTTTGTATAATTTATATATTAAAATTATCAAAATATTATTAATTAAACTCCTTTTTATATACCTATTAATGATATTTTTATAATTTAGAATCTAAACTGTTAAAAAAAAAAAAAGAGAGTCCATACTAAGGGTGTGTTTAGTAAAAAGTTAACTTTCACATAAAACTTTTAATAGAAAAGTAATTAGAGAAAAATTATACAAAAAATTAAAAAGTATTTTATAAAAAGTTATAAAATTTTGTAATAAAATTTTATTGTGTTAGAAAATTATGT